TGGATTGATCAATCCGACTATGAATGCAATACCTGCTGAGCTCCATCCTGTCTGGTTGTTAAACTCAACAAACACAAACTTTGCGCTTTGAAAATCTCCTTTGTGCATGGCCAAGACGGTAATAATCACAATGATGAATGAAGCAAGCGAAATACCAAGTGTGCCCAAGAATATTGCCGGTAAAGGGCGATCATAAACGTTGAATAACAGCACCAATATATTAAACAATTCGTAGACAATAAACACTTGCCACTTGTGGACGACAAACTCAGGACGGAACAAGGCGTACAATCCAAGAATTGCAACGGAGATTGTGATTGTAATACTTGCTGAGGTAAACACTGACCCCACCCAAGATAATACTCCGGTTATGTAAGCCAATAATCTTGAGTACCTCCGTGGTGCCAACTTCATTGTCCAATATATCTGACCAGAAGCATTAGGATAAGCTGATGCCATTTCAGCTAATGATATCACAACACAAAATGAGAAAAAAGAAACGATTATAATTCCGTACACAATCATCATAGGTCCTCCAGATGCTATGCCTGTAATTAAAGAGCCACTGATACCGGCCCACGAATTGGTAATTCCGAATCCAACTCCAATCAAAGAGATCATACTAAAATTTCTTCTCAATTCTGGTGCATATCCTGTGTCAGCCAGGAACTCCAAGTTAGCTTGTGCTTCTTTTAAAGCTCTGGCTGCATCCTTTTCGTTTGTAATGGCGATATTATCTATGCTTCTAACATGGGCAGGCAGACTTATCCTATTGGAATGAACATGGTTAACAAATTCCCCTTCGCCGATGCTGTGACTATCCCAAGATGATTCTGGTTTGTTGAACGAGTTTGACATTTTCAGCTTCCCAGTGCTTTGCTTAAACTAGCTCGAACTTTCAATAATGGATATGATAGTTGAGGTAATGGTCCCCTTATATAACGTAAAGTAAAGCTTAACCCATCCTGATGTATCACTATACACCCAAAGGTGACTTCTTGCTCTTATGGTGGGGAGGGGGGGGAAGAAAATGTGAAAGGGTGGGATAATGTGGGGAATATGCTAAATTTAAAACGTCAGATTTAGTGAACTGCGAAGTATAGGCGTTTGAGGGCTTTTTGTAGGGCAAGTTCTTGGGAAACGTTTGGAGCCCAGACGCATACACTGGAATGGAGAGTAGTTTTGTTACCTTCTGCATCAACACTCTATGATGAGTCTCAAAAAGAGGAGAAGGCAATTTCTACCCCGGTCTTGTGTACGTTGCCCATTCTCCAAGAGTCGGGGGAAGGATATTGTTTTTTCATTTGCGGATAATAAAAAGCATTCTTTTGTGTAATTTGGTTATTAAAAGAAAAATTACACAAATAGGCTAGGCTTATTGTTATTGTTTTGCCCCGCTGCAAAACCCATACTCGTCACACTACATCATTTAAAATGGGCTCTCGTGCTGCCAAGGTTTCTGTAGAATAGGCTGTATAACTTTTAAGGTTAATGGTAACTTCATTTAAGGTCTATGTGCCCATCCCATTCAGCCCTATTTGTGTAACTCGGAATTTCTACGAACATTATTGCAAATCTCGCAAATGCAGAAGTTAATTCAATTTTTTCGTAATTGTAGACTGGCACTCTATATGCAAGTTGTGATAAAAGCCATCTCACCAATTTTTGCCCAACACCAAGACTATTTAAATTTCAGATTAGTGGAGACAACTTGTCGAAAAAACTGCTTCAAGTGTATCATTTGCCACGAGTTTTATATATTTCCCCACATTTTAAGTGCTGCCCATTTCGGAATGCATTACCACTTTAATGACTATGTCGTAGTCTACCGAAAACAAAATAGGCAACTAGATTCGCTATCTTGTAATTTCAAATCCAATCAACCGTAATGAGAAAAGTGATGACAAAAATTTTAGTCGATAATCTACAAATCTAATTGCAGCTTCTACCTTGAGGGGTAGCGTATAATTACAACGCATTAATTAAATCTCTGACAATTTCTCGTAACTTGTTTACATAATTGATGTAAAGGCCTGGCGTTCCTTTTTCCCAAAAATAGCACTTTTGCTATGGTATATGAGCTATACCATTGGGTGCAAGTGTAATAAAACCAAATGGTTAAAAGGGAAAGTGCCTAGAACCGAGCTGTTCTTCTGTTCTGCTGTTCTGTATGGGCTTGTAGTATAGTCTCCACCATAAGAGTTGCAGTCTTGAAACAGCCTTATGAATTGTGATTTAATTGACACTACCCTTCTACTATAACTGTGAGCAGTTAGAGACATAGTAAACGTAAATTATCAAAACGATTAATACAAGATATTCAAAACAGCACTAACTAGCTTTTCTGATCACTTATTAGTTTGGTGCGACATTAATACTTCAATTTTTGACACTTGGTTTGAAAGTTCATTCGTTAAATCTTCACGGTGTTTCTCCCTCTCTTCTATGTCAACAAATTCCTTCCTGCCTCTTACAATCCAGTCAACGAAAAATA